TAAAAAAAAAATTAAAAAAAAAAAAAGCATCTATTCCACATCGTACTATAAGCTCTAGTCAAAAGAACTAGACAAGGAAAAAAAAGGAAGGAAGGAAAGAACAGACAAAGAGAAGAATAAAGGGAAGGGATAATGGAAGGGATAGAAGGAGAGCATCTAAATAAAGGAAAAAGTGAAAAGATCGTGCACTTGCCTAGCATGCATGAAGCTCTGGGTTCAGTTCCCAGGGAAGAAAAGAAAAAGAAAAAATAAATAAATAAATAAATAAATGATCTTTGTGCTAGGAGACTGGCTCTGTCTCTCCAGGCTGCTCATCACTCAAATATCCTTGAAAAGACAGCTCAGAACAAAGCTGCCTCTCAACCAGAAATGCAGGAGAGCTATGGAGAATTGTCTCCCAAGAGGAATGCCAGCCAGCACCAAGGAGCGGTCAGAGGCAGGCTCTCATGCTTATTCTCACAACTGCCCGGGAGGGAGCCTTAACAGCAGCGTGCCCCACCCAACAGCAGGAGCTGTGCCTGCTCATCTACCTTCTGGAAGGCTGTCAAGTTCTACCTGTCTCCACCCCAGGTGGATAGGCCCAAGGAAGGCCCACAATTCTCACCAGCACTCCCAGGGCAGAAATCTATGGGAGGCATCCAACCAAGGTAAAAACCACTAAACCAGTGAGGACACTCACTGTTATGGTTTGTGTCCAGATGTGCTCCAAAGGCCATGTGATCCTAGGGGCGGGCTTTTCTGAGGTGGGCTGAATCTAGAGTTCACGATTGATTCATTGTCTAGTGCTGGGATTATGGGTGCAAGTGCTATGCCCACCCTAGGCTGAGTAGCGCACATACAATACTAGGGACAGAAAGAGTCTTCTCTGGCACTTTTGCTCTTGTTGCTTTTGCTGTTTTCTGCCACCATGAACTGCTGCCCTCTGCTGTGTGCTACCCTGCCTTGGAGCCTGCTGAGTGGGGACTGAGACCTCCACACACTGTGCGCTGAATAAGCTTTCCCTCTTTAAGTTGGAGCTTCAGGTATTTTGACTCAATAAAGAGAAAAAAAGTAACCAAGACATGCATCAAGGCACCAGCATAGATCTCTGTAGGCCTAAGACAGTAAATTTAAAAGCCTACAGCTCCCTGGACAGCTATGAGTAACTCATGTCCAACAGTGTGGTAAAACATAACAACTTAAGCATGTCAGGTTTGCTTCTGGGGTCATTCTCAATACTTCCCTTTCATGCCACCATTATTCAGTCACTCAGTAAGTCCTGTCAATACGGATCTGAAAACAGTCTCAGTCATACTTCAGCAGTGCCACTGTACGAGTCTGTTGGTCACCTTAATTTCAGTTTTAAACCCTTACCTGCACAAAGAGTGCACTGTTCTCACAGCAGCCCCCACCACAAGTTTGGTTTTTTGGTGGTTTTTTTTTTTTTTTTGGCCTGTGCACAGGCGTGTGGGGTGTGTGTGTGTGTGTGTGTGTGTGTGTGTGTGTGTGTACACGTGTGTGTACACGTGTGTGTACACGTGTGTGTACACGTGTGTGTGTGATTTGGATCAAATCCAGAACCTCACGCATATTAGATAAAGGCTCTACTACTGAGCACCCAGCCCCTTTGGCAGATCAGATCTGGCTCTCTCATTCTTAAATACTCCTATAATAAAACGTTATCCAGAAGAGAAGCTCAAATATTCAACTTGCCCTTTGAAAGTCCTTAAAGATCTAGCTCACGCTCATTTCTATTACCTCATTTTGTAAACATCCCAGTCCCCATGCCCATCTTAATATACATGGGGCTGAGTTCCACATTGGGAGGTTTATTATTATCATTATTATTGTTATTAGTATTATTATTATTATTTTGGTACTGGAGATTATACCTAGAGCCTTGAACATGCTAGGCAAGCAGCCTATGACTGAGCTGCCACATTAGCTATTTACTTTTCATTTTTAGACTGTTGCCCAGGGTGGTCTCACACTTATAATCCTCCTGTCTCAACCTCTGATGAGCTGAGACTATGGAGGTGCCTCACCAGATTTGCATTTTCTAGTTTCTTGGTCAAAAGTGTTACCACAGATCTGTACCACTACCTTCTATTACTCTCCTTTATCTCGTCTCACAAGAACCTTCTCCAAGGAAGATGGCTAACCACACCCCACTCCCCTGCCTGTTTTATTTTATTCATAGATGTAATCGCTGTTGAAAAGCATAATTTCTTCATTCACTTGTTTGGTTACTGTCTGTCATCCTTAGTAGGACAATGTGGCATGAGAGGAAGAATATTTTTCTGCCTTATCAGTGTTGGTTCTCCACAATGACAATAGGTTTAGTAATTGATACTCAAATATTCATGTATTTTGTAATCCCAACACCTAGGAGTCTAAGGCAGTAAGCTCAAGGCCAGCATGAACTGCATAGTGACAACAAATCTCAAAAAGCCAAAACATTCCCGATTTTGATATATAAATAGATAAGTACAGGATGCAAAACTCGATATTTGTGAAAACTGTTGACACAATTCATTATACTGAGCAAGAGGAAAAATACCTGTATATATGCCAAAAATCAGTACATACTCCTGACTTCAAAAATTTATAATTTAAAAATAAAATCTGACTTTCTTTTTTATGATAAAGTATACCAACTCATAATATCATTTTTAATTAAACACTAGAAGTATTCTCATTAAACTAAGGAACAGAAAGAAGACACAATTACTGCTGCCACTGAACACCACAAAGGAAAAAGAAATGAGATATAAATATTTGAAGACAGTGCCAAAATTTTATCATTTATATGAGTCCTTTCTAAGTTAGCAATAATATTAATATCCTTTATTGAAGGAAGTACTCAGAAATTAGAAGATAGGGTATATTGGTTTGCTATCTCCATCTATGCTATCAATACTTGAAAAGAAAGCTTAGTCATAACTCACCTCATTCATTTTCCGACAACTTTTTATTGGGAAACAGCTCACTACCAATCACCCTTTAAGTTGGGTCTAAGGACACAGAAATGAATATAAAACAGTTACTGAAACTTTATCCCTGAAGCATTGAAACTTACAATCTGATGTGGAAACCAGATAAGAAACAACTAAATTAGAAATGTATACACTAGGTCAGCTAAAGACAAGTGTTAGGGAGGTAATAAAGTAAAGATAACTCAGAAGCAGCCCTGTCTCCAGAGAAGGCGTGTGGAGTAGAGTGGAGGGATTTGCTGACGCAAGTGGGGTAGAAAAGCAGCAGCTCACCTAAAGTAAGGCGATCTTTGAGCAAAAGGATAAAGTGAGAAATTAAGTCAAGCATGAGGACAAATAGGGGAACAAGAGAAAGCAAATACCTAAGCAACAGCTAGCGACTTCTTGTGCCTGACAGCAGCGAACAAAGGGAAGTCCAGTTGGAGTTGAAGTCAGAGACAAGGCTGTGGGGAGAGTACAGCACATCACATTGGGCCTGACTGACCATGAAAAAGATGTTGCCTTGGCCAAATGAGGCCAACAGAAGTTTCTGAGGAAAGAAATAATTGTATCTTAAAATTTAATAGACCTAATCAGGCTGCTGAGTTTTCAAGGAGATTATGGGAGGCAAAAACAGCTGAGAGACGACTAGGAGTTTCCTGGAATCTATTGCAATAACCCAAATATGGGGTGAAAGGGATCAGAGTGGTGATAATGGAGGACAGATGGTGAGAAGTGGGTACATTCTGTATATATTTTAAAGATAGAGCTGAAAGGATTTGAGGATGCACTTGTTATAGCCTATGGGATAAAGGAAGGAATCAGGGATACTGCTAATATGTTTAGCCTGAGCAACTGGAAGGATAGAGTTACATTTATAGAAATGAGGAATGCTGAAAATAAAGCAGGATTGGAATGTGAGTGGGAGTTATATCACATTTTGGCCTGAGGGAAGCAGATGTTTGAGACGCCCACTGGACAATAAATGTCAAGTAGGTAGTTTGGAGTTCTGAAATGCTGTCCAAGAAATAGAACCTGGAGAGTTAGAAGTGTGTGTGCAGATGGTGAGACGTGTGACATCTATGCAGCTATGAGTAGCAGCCACATGCTCTAAAGGAGCTCCTCTGATGGGTGCCATATAAGCCAGCACCCGCCACCTTTCCTGGCGATGCAGCTGCCTCCATTTCCTACTTGCTGTGGCTTGTGGTGCACATGTCCACTTCATTGCTAGTTTATTATATGATCTGCATCACCGTCCTGTGTGCAAGACACATCATCATGAGGAAGATGGTACTAACGATATCCCTTCCCTGTGACCTGTAGGTTCTATATATGGTAGTATCAACACAGGATGTCCTTAATTAACACCCTAAGTCATAAAAGTAAATAATCACATAAAAAGTTTTCAAGTTATAAGTTGTCTTCAGGGAAGGTGGTTAGCAAGGATGCTTATAATAATTAGCAGTGATAAGCATCTTTTTATCCTAAAAATAAGAAAGTTTAAGTTTCTTTTTTAAAATATTTATTTATTTATTTATTCATTTATTTGGAACAGGGTCTTGCTATGTAGCTCAGACTCATAGTGATTTTTATTTAGTTACTTATTTTTTTGTCTTCTTTGAAACAGGGTTTCACTATGCAGTTCAAGCTGGCTTTGAATTCACTTTGTAGCCCGGGATGGTCTTGAACTCACAGCCATCCTCCTGCCTCAGCCTCCCAAGGGATGGGATTACAGGCATTTACCACCACACCCAGCTTTAAATTTCTGAATTATAAAATCAGAATGACTAGAGATCAGAAAGGACTCATTTCTATCTAGTACTGTGGTACTCAGCTTTGGTTTTCCCAAAGTGGAATTTTAGGAAACAATCAACCCTTGAGCCAGTCTGTCTGTGTTTATAGCTTCACTTAGTAAATTCCTAGTGATATAATCTGTCATGGGTTTTGTCTACCCCAACATGTTTTTGCTAGTCTTAACAAAATGCAAAGCCAAGATTAAAGGATTTCCGTTGGACACCAACCTACTCCAGAGAGATCCCCCCACACCACTGGCTTCTGGCCTGGAGGTATGTGGACCCCTCTCAAGTGACCTCCGCAGTTACCATGAGCTGCAATACAGCCAGGGATTTATCCCCAGGCTGGTACTGTGCCTTTTGGACTTTTATTCTTGGAAACTGTGACCTAAATAAACCTATTTTCTCTATGAGTTTCTCAAGAGAAGCTATTCATTCACAATCTCCGAAAACAGACTCAGCAGGACCATAGGAAACTGGCACACACTTGGCACACTGGTTACTCCCTTTACCACCAGCCCTTTGTCTCTGACTAGCACACCAGATGCAGCAGTGGATAAATGTACTGCACAAGGAGGGCAAAATGCTGGCCTTCACAGCTCTTGGTGCTTGCTAAGTGTTTGTCTTAAAGCTACGAAGTTTCGTAGGTCTTATTTTCCTCATTTGTGAAATGGATTATCAATAACTTCAACATCAAAGGTTCTCTTAAAGAATTAAACAAAATAACATATAGAAAAGTTCTTAGCAAATAGTTCTAGGCACACAGTAGGTACTTAAATGTTATCCAAATCCTATTTCTAAAAGGCTAGTGATAATTATACATAAGTAGTGCCTCTCAGGTGTTATATAATTACTTTTTTTCAACAGAAAAAAATATTTCTGAAATACAGCATAAAATTAGCAAGTATTTATGCTAAATTATTTAATCCTTCTAGATAATTGATGTCATTATGCTCACTTTACAGACAAAGAACTAAGCAGAGAAAACTTGAATAAAGCTCACTTAGCAATGAAGCAGAAACGCACTCCAAATCCGGTCAATCTGGAGCCACGCTTTTACCCATGACACTGTGCCCTACTTCTGTGTGAGAATTCATGGGGACCTGGGAGGAGAGCAAGGAAGAAAGGCTGAAGGGATCCTTCCCAGTGAAGAAAAAATCTAGAAACTGCTCATCTCAACCTAGAGGAGGAAGCTGAGCGTCTGAGATGCCTCACGCTGTGGTAGTGGAGGCTCAGCATTTAATGATAATTTTACAGTCAGAAACTGTCTTCTGTTTTTCAGTGAGAAACATGATTGATAAAAAGTGAGGAGAAAATATTCAGCAAGGTTCTGTTTTCTTCACCCTTCTAGGATAAGCACATAATTACAGTGATTATTAATACTCCCCACATGTATATTAACATGCTCCACTCATAAATAGGCATAAACTTTCAGTCAGTAGATATGTGAGTGACAAAGCACATGTTTCACAGCGAGAAACACAAAATGTTGTAAAATCCCAGCCTAAATAGGTAGCAATAGCATCATAGCTCTGGCTTAAAAGATTTTATTAATGTTTTATCGTTATTATCATTAATTTTGTGGCTGTTGTTCACCAGGGCCTCAACAATCCAGGCAAGCACGCTACCATGAGCTACATCTCGACCCCTTTTTTATTTATTTATTCATTCATTTTAATTTATATCTTTGGTACAGGGTCTCACTACGCTGCTCAGATTCGTAGTGATCCTCCCATTTCAGCCTCCCCAGCAGTGGGATTACAGGCAGGCAGCCGCTTAGACCACTGAGCTACTTCCCCAGCCCCTCCACCCATTTACAAAAATTTTATTTTATTTAGAGACAGGATCTCGCTGAGGAGCCCAGGCTGGCCTCCAACTTGCAATCCTCCCGCTCCAACCTTCTGAGTAGTGCACTTGCCGTTTTTAAGAGATCAATATATACTTATAAAATAAATAAATAAAATAAACCTAACAGAAGAGAAGGGGATAAAATAAAAACAGAAGTACTGTCTTACTGGCCTGCTACCTTAATTTTGTATCTCAGTGTTTGGAAGTGTTCATAATTTATCTGTTCAGAAGTTGTCCGCAGTTGTATATTTACCTGTATCTGTTTATGTCCGTGTGTCATTAATCTTGTCGGCTTGGCTGGCAGAGGGTGAAGAGACTAACATTATCAAAGGGATGATCATGTTCACAGCTGAGAGGGTCACTTGGAGGCCAGGCCTCACTGTCCACAAGTGCTCTTGGGAACCAGACCCTGGGCCTCTCTGGCCCGGGGCCTCTGCTTCCCTGGTCCTTCCCACTGTCCCCCTGGGAAGCGTCCCAGATGCCAGTGTGAAGCAGCACTTCCTTCACTACATCCTTCAGCCCTTCCCCTCTCACAGAGCCAACCAACCACAGGCTGAGACCTCCCAGACCATCAGACCAGACAAAACCTTCCTCTTTTCAGTTGTGCATGTCAGATATTTTGTCTCAGTGACAGGAGAGCCCAGGAATATAGCAATATCAATATAAATTTGAATACAGAAACATTATCATCTATTTTAAAGCTTTGTACCATTTACAACTTTTAAAAATTTAATACAGAACCTATTTTCTAACACTTATTTCTACATAAACCCATTTTTCTACTTTGTTTTCTACCTTGTTCCTTTCACCACAAGGGTAAGCCATCCTTCTGTGGGCATTTAAGCTGTCTCCAGTTCCTTGCTATTCAATATACAGTGCTGCAACAACCATCTTGTCATGTCTCTGTACACATGTGTAAGTATAGCATAAAATGTCACTTAGAATTAGAATGAACAAACCAAAGGGTACCCAGAAATTAATTCTGCAAAATCCCATCAAGTCACTTTGTGAAAAAACATCTTTCTGAGCAGTTTCTTTCTCTTTGACATCTACTGTATCTTTTGGATCTTATTTACTCTTTCAATTTCCTACACAAGGGAGACAATATGATGTTTACACATGCAAGTCTGATCTATGTCACTCATGAGTATGGTCTCTAGTTGCCAAATTCTATAATTTTTTTGCTGTCTTTTTAATTCTTTTTAAAATTAAAAAATAGAACTACACAAAATATGCACATAGTGTAGGTATCGTCACATTTAATGCTATGAAGTATTGTGCACAGCAAATAACTAAAATTAAATAAAAAATTAAAAGCACTCATGGCTGTATACAAAGAAGCTCTGCTTTTCACCTACAGTCATGGTTTCATTTCTCACCTTTGAAAGCTCGATATACCTAGAACA